TAAAATTCTTGTGGAAACTATTTTGAAAACAATAATATGCAATAATTTTTTATAAATAAACAATAATAGATCATATATACTCTCTCTGTTATAGAAAATGCGATGAATCACTTTTTGAGTAAATTCGTACAAAAAGTACTAATATGTATAAGATGAATCATGGAATATATTTTTCTAGTAAACCTATTTAGAGACATAATTATTGATTTATTTTTGATGAACTTAGTCAAATTTGAGAAAATTTGATTCGGTTCAAATATAGAACTTTTTTTTTGAACGAAAGGATACTTTAGCATTTTAATGTTTAATTTAACCACTTACGTTAGATTTAGTTCAACAAGTAGCCTCATTATCTAATATGGTAAAAACACCAAGATATATAACAAAAGGACAAGTGTGCTAATCGATGTAAATTTGCGCGGGGGGGGGGGGCATGTCACTACCATAATGCTGGCAATGAGGATGTTCATATCACCACCGATTTATGGCTCAACCCAATAACAAAATTATGTGAAGCCATAAACCAGTTATGAACTGGTGGTTTATGGCCTTGCCAATAGTTTATGGGTGTTTGTTTTATGGAATGAGGCAGTCCATCGTCACACCATTTCTTAATTTTTTGTTTGGTTTGTGAAATAGAATGAGTTGATGCATCACCACCTCTTTCCTAATAGGCTTACAATTAGTACTAGTATAAACAAATAAAATCATTCCATTAAATTTGAAAAATGAACTCATAATGTATCACCTCATCTAAAATGGTTTGATTCTCTAAACCAAACATTTTCGATCCAAAGTTGGCTCAACTAGTAGTGTTGCTTCTTCCCTGCCGTAAACAGCTAGATGACACTGCTAGGCAGGTTGTACTGGCTATTTCTATAGTAGGGGTTTTCTATATACGGATGAATGGTCGTATAGTCTCTACAGATCTTACACACGGCGACAATGACGTATATATATGGTGTCTACAGCGAGAATTAGTATTTCTCTATTGGCATTTTTTTTTCAGTTTTTTTTCCTTTTTGCACCTTCATGCATGGAATTGAACAATATTTTTTTTTTACCGTGAGTTGTCCATGTACAAGACGTAAAAATAATAAATAAAGGTATCTAGCTATATCCAGCGATAAATACAAAAATCTTTTTTTTTATTCACATAATTAATTATCCAGTGAGTATCTGATAGGCTGTACCATAGCTTCCTACACCATTTTTTGGAGGCAATAACTCCATTCCATTTTTCTCTCTGCCAGATCAGCTACAAAAGGAGCCCCCTTCTCCCGTCACTCTCACCAACCACCAATAGCAGCATCAGCAGCGAACAAATCTCCTTTCTTGCATCCCGTCCGCCGGCCAGGGGTTCCGATCCTCGCGTAGCTAGTGCCATGCCTCGTAATCACGGGAAGCTCAAGATCCGATGGATCGTCCAGGACGCCGCGCGGGACGCGACGCGTTCCGGATCCGCCGCGCCACGCTGCTGGAGAAGTCCAAGGAGCTCTCCATCCTCTGCCAAATCCCTGTGGCCATGGTGGTGTACGGCCCCGGTAACGCTGAGCCGGCGTTCTGGCCGGAGGATCTTGACGAGGCCAAGGGCATCATGCGGAGGTATCTAGAGCTGCCTGAGGCCTCCAAGGAGACGCACAGGCTGGACAACAAGGGCTTCCTGCGCCAGGCCTTGAAGAAGATGGGGAAAAGGTTCGAGAGCTACAAGGCGACCGCCCGCCAGCTCGAGGTCAACCTCATCCTCAACGACATCAGCCTCGGCCGCCGCCGCAACCTCGACGACCTGGCCCCCGAGCTCGCCGCCGCTGTCAGGTCGGCGGTGAACTTGCTTAGGAGCTCCATCTACGAGCGCGTGAACTCGTTCACCTCGGCCGCAATGGCGGCCGTTCCGCCGCCGCTCGCACCTCAAGAAGCTGCGACGTCGACGCTTGTGTCGTCGCAAGAGGAGCCACTGATGGTGGCGCCACTTGCTATGGCTCCGCCGATGGTGGCGAACTCGCCGCTGTTTGTGCTGCCGTCGCCGCCGCTGGAACCCGAGCTGCTGCTGGTGCCACCGCAGGAGCCCCTGATGGAGCCGTTGCAGGAGCCACTCATGGTGCCACCGTTCGCGATGGCGCTCCCAATGGCAGCTGACGTGCCGGTGCTGGTGCCGGTGCCACATACGCTGCAGGCGGCGGTGGGGGATCCTCTTGCCCCCGCCGCTGGTGTGGGTGTTGACGACGATGACAGGGACGATGGCTTTCCCCGTGGTGGAAGCTATCTGCTTGAGGTGGCGGACGCCATCTTGGACGATGGCAGTGGACGCCAGGCCACTGATGAGGACGTCGACCGTCTGCTCTGGGAGCACGGCCTTGAGAGCTTCATCAAGCCCAAGCCCATGTAAGGGCTAATTTGGATACACAAATTCACCATGGGGATTGAAGGGGGGATGAACAGATTTTGTTCTCAGTTCCCTCCAATCCCATGGGGAATGATCAATACTCCAAACTAGCCCTAAAGGGCACAAGAATGCACGCCTACCTGTTCAGGGGGGCATGCATGAAATAAAATCTATCTTATGATTTGGTTTGTTTGATTTTAATTGTGTGTCGATGGTAGGAGTCTCAAGGTTAGGGTGGAGTATCAGGAGTCGTCGTTGTTTGAGTTATTAGTCCTTAGACTAGGGCTAAATGTACCCAAAATTTGAATTTTGAAGCAATTTGTGTTTCGTTTTTATACATTTATTTTCAGTACTGCTCCTTTGTTATGGTCAGTGTGTCGTCGTTCATCAGTGACAGTGAATTAAAAGAGTCTAGCAGTAAAGTTCATCTACGGCCTTCAAGGATTAGGCACTACAGCAGCATACATGATCTCATCCGATTAGGAGACTAGCAAAGTTTTAAATCTCCGGCTGCAGCTATAGCCGGAGATAGCTGCTGGAGATGGAAGCAGCTAAGCGATGCAATTTTTTGCGCTAACAAAAGCGGGGCGCTAATAGTGTCGTTTAGCCGGCAATAGCCGCTAAACTGGCCTTAATTTAGCGCAGCTAAATTGTGAAACGCGGCCGGCTAAAATTTTGGCAGCCCACAAAACTAACGCAGCACGGCCCAGCTTGAGTCCCAGCCCACCCCATCCCGTAACCCTAACACTCGGTCACTCTCTCGGTCTCGGAAAAAAGAGAGCACGCGGCGGCAGCGGCGGCTTCTCTTCCGGCGGCGGCGGGCCGGAGACGGCCGTGCGGCCTGGCCGCGCTCCCAAGCAACGGCTTCTGCCTGCGCTTCTCTTCCTTCATAAGACTGCGGTGGCAGTGCAGTCCCTGGACAAGCGGCGGCGGCGGCGGCAGCCAACAGGAACGGCTGCGGCGGCGGCTCCAGCACGAGCCACGGTGTGCAGCGCGAGCGTCGGCGCAGGCAGCACGAGCAGCACACTCCCGTTCTTTGTCTTCCCCAACTCGGTTCTTCATCTTCCCCATCCCGACATCGGCGGCGGAGGCAGCACGAGCGACGGCAACTACAACATTCCGGTTATCTTCTTCCATAATCCCAAGCAGCAGCACCAACAACACCAACACCTTGGTAGATCTGTGTTTTTTTTTATTTTGCAAAAACAGCTAAATGTCTTAGCTGCAGATATCTCCGGCGATAGCTGCATTTAGCTGGTAAGAAGGGCAGCAGCTAAAGAGCTTAGCCAGAGATTTAAAACCTTGGAGACTAGTAGCAGCCATGATGAGACGATGGTGTCTGTCGATGAAAATATATCTCTATTCATCATTGCATACACGCGTCAGGAACTACATCACTGCAAATTGCATCCTCTCTATTTCGGTGATTATGTATTGCCACACCAATCTTTTATGCTCACTTCACTGAGAGAAATTAAAAGCCCCGTGACATCCGTGCAGGCAGCAAGAGCAACTCAGAAGTCTGGGAGCAATCCCAATTCGCCTAACAGTGCAGCCACAACAACACCAAGTCGCAGGAGCAAACTTTGTGTCAACAAGAGAGACCAAGACTCTACAGAAAAAGCAAACACACTTTTTTAATCCAAGCTTGATAGTCAGTGCAACCAAACAAGTGTATCTTGTGTATTACATATGACAAAGCTTTCTTTCGTTGAAGCTGTAGTTCATGAAACGGTCACATCAATGCAGTTCCTTGTTACAGTGGCACAATTAATATAGCTATAATTCTGCAAAACTTATTCCACTGAGTAGTAGAGAACCCGTTGAATAGAATAGAATTAAAGCATCAACAAAATCAAACCATATGACAGTAGAAAGATGTTTTCTATTTCATGTAAATGTTGGAAACTCAAAAGGGTGTTGAGAAAAATCACAACAACATTTTTTTTGAGTAAACCTTTTGGATTTACTGTACTATCAGAATGAATTATTTTTACTAAGAACATTACACTGCCACAGAAAACTCAACCGAGGCGGGCATATTCAATTAACCGAGGCAGGCATCGCAACCGCCTCGCTACAAAGGTCACGGTAAATGGGATGTTTACCGAGGCGGTTGAATGCCCATCTCGGTAAATAAAAAAAACAATAAAAAGGAAAACCCATGGATAAGCCCGCCGAGCCCATCCACGGGCCGCCGAGCCCATCCACGGGCCGCCGCTGAGCCCATCCACAAGAATGCACGCCTACCTGTTCAGGGGCATGCTTGAAATAAAATCTATCTTATGATTTGGTTTGTTTGATTTCAATTGTGTGTCAGATGGTAAGAGTCTCAAGGTTAGGGTGGAGTATCAGGAGTCGTCGTCGTTCGAGTCGTTAGTCCTTAGACTAGGGCTAAATGTACCCAAAATTTGAATTTGGCAGCAATTTGTGTTTCGTTTCTATACATTTATTTTCAGCACTGCTCCTAGCTTTGTTATGGCCAGTGTTTTCGTTCATCAGTGACAATGAATTAAAAGAGTGTAGCAGTAAAAGTTCATCTACAGGCCTTGAAGGATTAGGCATTACAGGAGCGTACATGATCTCATCAGATTATAATTAAGACTAGTAGCAAGCTTTATGAGATATGGTGTCTGTCGATGAAAACAAATTGCTGTTCATCATTGCATACGTGCGTCAGGAACAACAACACTGCCAATTGCATCCTCTCTATTTCTGTGATTATGTATTGCCACACCAACACCAATTTTTATGCTCACTTCACTGAGAAAAGCCGCGTAACATCCGTGTAGTAGGCAGCAAAGAGCAACTCAGAAGTCTGGGAGCAAACCCAGTTTGCCTAACAGTGCAGCCAACAACACCAAGTAGCAGGAGCAAACTTTGTGTCAACAAGAGACCAAGACTCTACAGAAAAGCGTCAAAGCTCAAGCCACGCAAAAACTTAGAAACACCAATTGAAAAAGGTTTCCTCGCTGAAAATTCTTTTTTTATCTTTTTGGGATGATAAAGTTCAATAGAATATTAATAATTTGGGAGTATCTTTAGGGGCATCTGTCAATAGAATCTCAAAATCAGGAGAGTAACTTGAAACATGTAGAGTTCATAGACTTAGTGTTACTCCTAAAGTCTCTGAACTGGATGTTTGTGTGAGTGACCTTTTTGGAGATGTTAGTGAGGGTTTGGGTAATGAGCTTAATTAAGCTATAGAGGTAGATCATCTATGTAGGGAGGTAGTGTGGCTTTTCGCTCCTTTGAGTACTATTCAAATAACAACCTTTCAGAAGATGCACTACCGAAAACAGGAGCTTTGCCGTGTGTTAAAGACACACAGCGAAGCCCAAAAAACACTCGGCAAAGAATTTGCCGAGTGTTACATTCGGCAAACAGCACACGACGTACATTGTGATGGCAAAAGTTTCTTTGCCGAGTGTTTTTTATCATGCACTCGACAAAGACTTTGTCGAGTGCTAGAATCGACGCTCGGCAAAAAAAAAAAAAAAACGTGACGGCGAGAAGACGATCACGGCGCGCGTTTGCCAAGTGTCTAACGGCACGGGCACTCGGCAAAGATGTCATGTTTGCTGAGTGTCCACGCGAAAAAACACTCGGCAAACATCTAGAGAGGAACTGTAGAGGTTCATTGCCAGTATAACTGTATTTCTAAAGTTTTTCTGAATTTATTTTTTAAAGGAAAATCGCCGTATAAGGTGTGAGCATGACATCACGGTGAGGTCATCAAGCTAGCAAGGCAGAGTTCCGAGCCGCCGGCCGGCCGCGCGCCGCATCCCGGAGCACCTTCGGCCTGCTGGACCTCCACGAGGAGCACATCATGAACATCGAGGCCGTCATGAAGCGCGTGCTGCTCGCCGTCGGCGTGCGCATGGACGACTACCCGCCGTTCCTCCGCCCATTCTTCTGGCGACACCAGTACCCATGCCCTCGCCGTGGGGTCGCCAGCGCCGGGTCCCTGCCGCAGAGCCTGAACTCCCGGCCGCAGCCCTGGTAGCCGTCCAGGTTGTGGAAGCACGCCGGAGAAGAAGTTTCCGGTGTACTGTTGAAGAAGTTGCCAGCGTTGCAGTTGAAGGAGGACCCGCCGGAGACAATGCGCCAGCGTCGCTGCCTCCACTGCAAGCCACGCTGCTCTCCGCTGGGAAAGGCTATTAGACGGCACTGTTGCTGTGACGGGAGGACGATGAGGAATCAGCCTCCACTGAATCGAGATATTGTGATTTCCAGATGGAACAAACACTGGATTAAGGTAACTGCAATGATTTGTACCTTCCAAATCGTCGATTCCATTTTTTTTCCGCTCCCCGACAGATTCGGCGACCGGTGGTGGCCGCCGGCTGCTCCCCATTGCAGGTGACCCGCGCAAGCGGCCTCACCGCGGCCGGCCTGCCTCACGGCGGCCAGTGGCCCCGCACGGCCCCGTGCCTGTGGTTGTGGCCTCGGCCCGGCGGCTCCTCCCACGCTCGCGGGTGCGGTTTATTTATAGAATGGAGCAGCGGTCTTTGATTGGCGGTGGAATCGGTGGTGCGGATCGAGGATGTGGAGGCCGCGATGTGTTTGGCGAGATCTGACACTGGGCAAATCCGGATTTGCCGAGGGTTGGATCGGGACACTCGGCAAATCCTTTTTTTTCATTTTTCTTCTTTTCCTTCTTTTTCTTCGGACGGCACGCACTTAAGTATGTGATGCGGACTAGTGGGGTAATAAACACCGTGGACTTTGTCAAGTGCCTATTGTCGAGTATGTACCAATGCTGTTCATTCAATAGAGGATAGCCAGGATGAGAATTGATGAACACGAAAAACACAGATCATTTTTGTTCTTGTTTGTTGAGTGTCAAACTTTATCCAGAGTGTTTTTTACCTTTAGCCTTTTTTGCAATGCGATGAGTGCAATTATTTTGCCGTGTGGTTTAAGCCTTTTCAAATTTTTAATTATATGGCAAGCACTCTCTAATACAAAATGATAGATCTTTTTACTAGAATTCAATGGATCAATTCATAACCCAAGTAACCGAAGTGTCCGATATAATGCACTCGGCAAAGATTCTTGCACTCGACAAACTAAGGGTTTCCGGTAGTGATGCAGTGCAAAATACAAAGTTACTCATCATGCGCTATTCAAATAACAACCTTTCACATGAAGGTTGGGTAATTACTCCAAGCATATTGTTGTGATTACACAAATTAAATGCAATTGGACTGAGAAAATTTGGTAAATCCATGTTCAAAACTAGGAAAAAAAGATTGTTAGCTCTTGAATGTCACCTTTAGCTAGGTTTCTCACAATTCGATAAATCATATATATATGGGAATATATAATAAGTTTGTTAATTGTAACACAGATACAAACTTCTGCTGGTTAAGTAGAAAGAGAAAAAAAGGTAGTCACACAAAACAAAAATTACTTGATAAAACATGTGGGAGTGTAAAAAATTAAAATAAACTATGCATATTGAGTAATCATAAGAACACAGTCTTATCATGTCAAGAATAGATGTGAAGCAAAACTTTGTCTCACCACAGTAAAAGTGCAGAAGCTTTTAGGTTGAACGTGAAAGTGCCAAAAACGGCGCGTGAAAAGATTGACAGCCGGCGGCATGCGTTCCTCTGGACTGGGGGAGACAAGTGCAATGGCTCTCAGTGCCTCATTGCGTGGGAGCGGGCCTATCCTGCCAAGGACGCCGGAGGGCTGGGGTCAAGAATATTGAGGATCAAAACCACTGTCTCCTCATGAAATTCGTTCAAAAGCTTCTGGGACCAGACTCTCTCCCTTGGAAGACATGTTTCCATCGCCATTCCCCTCCTGACCTTGGAGACGGCGAACCCACTCCTTCCTGGGGCACATCATTCATGAGGAACTTCCGTGCTTCAGACGGTCACCTTTGTTGTACGTGCTGGGTGATGGCTGCAACACTTCTTTTTGGCTCCACAACTGGCTCGGTTCCCAACCCCTCGCCGCTGCCTTTCCCGCCCTCTTCTCCATGTTCAAAACTAGGAAAAAAAAGATTGTTAGCTCTTGAATGTCACACAGCTACAGGCCATCGGCTAGCGTCACAAAACAAAAATTACTTGATAAAACATGTGACACCTTAACAATCGGCCAGGGCAATTCTCTTCAGCCCCCTTTCACCAGAAATAAAAGTCAAAAGTCGAAGCTTTTAGGTTGAGCAGCCAAAAAGCGGTTGAAAAGATTGTGCATGGCTTCTCTGGACTAGGGAGACAAGTGCAATGGCTCTCGGTGCCTCATTAGGTGGGGCGGGCACATCCTACCAAGGGCCTTGGGAGGCTGAGGCTGCCTCCGAGCTGCATACCATCCAAGAGTCCCTGCGGGATGTCCAGCTCGCCACCTTCCCTGACCGAAGATGCCTCAACTCCATCGCCCACCCTCCATTCTCTAGCCATGGGGCGTACAAGATTCTACATGCTGGCGATGCAGTGTTAGCCGGGCCTGCTCTCATTTGGGGATGTAGGCTGCCCGATAAGATCAAGTTCTTTGGGTGGCTCGTGCATTTCAACAGGATGAATTCGCGAGGCAACCTCTATGAGAAACACATCAAGCCGCTGGAAGACTCCTATTGCCCTGCCTGCATAGGTACCATAGAGACCGGCGATCACATCTGACTTGATGTCGATATCGACGCAGTTCTTACCCACACATCGAGCCCTCCGTGACCAACTATAGTGGGATATGAATTGGGGATGACAATCGCGGAACTACAAAGCCGACTCGTGTGGGTGAAGCTCATGGTCGTGAGTTGCCTCGCCATGATCATCGGGTTTTACCTCTTTGCTCACTTGTTTATCCTAACCACCTCGTATGCTTGTACCACTTTGACCATAGCGTTCCTTCGGATCTAGCGGTGACAACCACATCGCTACGGACCTTAGGGATAGCCTTGTGCCAATTTAGTTGCACGGTCGTGGTTCCCTACGAGTGGGTTTGGATCATGGGATCGTGTCTCCTTTCTTCCAACCTTCGTCCATTCCATGATGAGTTGGTCAAAAGAGTGCGGATTCCATTCTTCTCTCCCCTCTTGTTCTCGATCCTCATCGATCTTGTAAGATGTGGGTTGAGCCCTCTTGTTCCAACTTCTTCAATTAATGTCTTTTGCCATGACATGTGAATCGAAGTACCATGGAACCAAAGTCCTTTTCGCTTGTTTGTGTGCCTTTGGTGTTCCTTGTTGCTTCTTGATTCTATTCCTTCGATTCCCGTCGACTACTATGTCGAGTGGATCAAAGGAAGGTGAATCCGTGTCTTCTCCCCCTTTTTGGCTCTTTCATGCTTGAGCCCCTTGTATGTTTGTCCCTATTCTAGACCTTAGCGCTCTTTAGGTTTTAGCGGTGACAACCGCACCGCTAAAACCCTAGGGGTGTCTGGTGCCATTTAGTGCACGTGGGTCAAGGTACCCTATGAGTGGACTCGGGTGTTGGTGTTCTTCTGTGTCACTCCTTTCTGATGCCCCATCTTTTACCATGCCATGAGGATTGGAAGAAGCAGACCACCGTTCCTCTCCTTCTCTTTCTATTCCACCCTGTCTTCAGTTCTCGTCAATTACAATGGCATATGGATTAAGAGAGATCGAAACTTTTTTCCCTTCTCCTTAGCGTCTATGTCATGTTCTTAGAACCATGTGAGTCAACCCGATCGACTATTAGAGTGCCATCTCTATAGAGGATGAGACATGGACGTGCCTAGTTGATTTTCTCCATCGCCCCTTTTTAGCCCAAGGAAAATGGACTCGCTTCGTGAGGGCTAGCCTAGTTTTTTTGTGGTGTTTGCTTAAGTCGAGCTAGGGTCTAGGCTATTATTCGTGAAGCCGTATAGGTCGACACAATCGGCCCGGGAAGTACTTGCTAGACCGTGACTTGAGCTTGTACTTAACAGACAACCACTTCTGTTTCTCTCCAGCCCAAGGCTCGGACTTCCTCCGCGAGGGCTAAGTCCTTTTCCTTTAGTGTTCTTTTGGTGTTTTATTAGCTCTTCCCGTGCTTTGTTGCCTCTTTATTTGTGGTCTTTCTTGGTTAGTGGTTGATTGCTCCCTTGTTTTGTTTGTCATACGGGCGAGGTAATTGCATTGGGGATGATGATGTTCAAACTAGAATCCATTGGAGGGAGGAGACACAGATGACAACATGACTTGGAGGGGAACGGCTAAGGTTACACTGAGGATCTTGGAGATAATCAATCAACAGGTGCCACGTCCCACCCAACCTCATAGAATCCTATTAGGCTTGCAATAATGTAGCTGTTAGTGCTTTACTTTCATGCAAATGAACTATGATAGGATGCATGGTAGAATTGCTTGAAGCCAATACCTTTATGCAACCTTTACCCCTGCACACCCAGTGTTAGTCTAAAATTGGTGATAACTTGGGGAGATCATGGAGTATGTCTTGGGTGTGTGGTGAGGGTTGAGTCGACCGGACAGGATTCTACAATGAGTCTTTGGACGAGTCTTGCTAGGGGGATGCGACCTGGGCATTCCCTATGAGAGGTACCTATGGCAGGTACATGTGTGAGGAGTATATTCCAAGGAGGCGTCACTTCATAATGGAGGTGCCATCGAGGCACGGGGTGTTGGTTATCCCCTTTGAGAAGATATCTTGTTTGGTCCCCCAAAGGACTGGTATGTCGAGAGAACCGGATCATAGGACCCTATGTACACCACTCGCTCCTAAATGGGCGGGGGACGGTTACCCGACCAACTAGGATGGTGCCATCACTGCTAGGTTGGAAGTGGATAGTGTAGGGAGGTATGGGTGTATGGCTCACACCCTCCTAAGACAGTGTAGTGGCCTCTGGGGGCTCGGTACTATGTCTCATAGTCTCAGCATGTCGGTGGACTCCAGGGGTGGCCTAGGGCTGAGTGGTAGGGTGGCACCATACCGGTTGGGAGGTAGTCGGTATCAGCCTAGGCGGGGCACCGCTGATGATGGTGATCTTGTGATTCTAGGTGTACACACTCTATAGAGTTGATCGATCTATATGTATAGCCGTGTCCTCGGATATGGACATTCCTATGACCTACACTTCCCTTGATTAGTGAGAGGAGTCCTTTCTTCTTCTTCCCCCTAGGTTTGGTGTTGGTTTCTGGCTTTGGCCGTTGAGGCAAGGCACGAGAGGGAGTCGTCCTTGCCGCCTAGACAGTGACAGTGTGGTGAGACGTGTGTGATGGGATGGGTGAACGTGTGTGGATGAGATGGGTTAAAACTTGATGAGCTATTGTAAAATATTGATGAACTTGTAGTGGAAAACTACAACCATAAATATGCCTTTTGCTCTACCCTTGCATTCCATTTACCACAAAGCAAACACAAAGCATAGGGTGGGAGCCAGTGGCCA